CTTACCTATCCATAGTTTGTCGACAACTTTAGAAGCAAAGGTGAATGCATTTGCAACGATCTTGGCATGGTTACCATGGCCCGCAGATGGATTTGCCAGCAGATTTCCTCCTAAGAAGTAATCCATTTGAGCTGACACGACTTCTGTTTGGTACTCTGCTTGTTGTGGCTGCATACATGAGGGTGGGTAGGACTATGAACAAATAGTATTGTGAGTATTATATTGTAAGTGAATATAATAAATCCAGCGCGCTCATTGGTCACAATTTACGTCTTATGCTGTAATATATTAACCTAYGGGTGACTGTAATGAGCACAATCACCCCCACTTTCTATCGTTTTTATCGCCTTCCTCCTAGAGTATACCCTCTAGGCGTTCTTACCTCAAGTATTATATCAATCACTCCAAGGCTTTTGTTTGATGTGGTGCACGTCAAGTTATCTGTCATRATGACCCGTAGAAACTCTAGTATACACTTCCTAGCAGGGTGTGTTATCAGTTGGGTCTTTTCTTCGCTGAACACAAGCTCTGAAGAAATCTCTCCYTCTCCTTCACTGTCCGACGTTATCTAAAAGAAAACAAGGGTGAGCATTGATTAAAAATGCAAGGCTACGCCTCGTGGTTGTATACAACACGGCCACTCATACTGTATATATTACATACAGTATGAGTGGYYGTGTTATATGAGATATACATAMGCCGAGAGTTTGTATATCAGATACAACRCGGGCACGAMTAMTGTAGATTGCTTRTCAAACGTCTARGTTAGTTCCTTTGTGTTTCACTAAAATTTTCAAAATTAAAGTGAATCTGGCCAAGAAAATCCAACTTAAAATKTATGYAAATGAACACAATTTTGTATCAGATTTACAACACTCTTCACAATCGTGAYTTCTGTTGTGTTYTCCTCATGAATTATTAATGAGTTTGACAAGGAAGGCTTTACAGCACAGGGCCCAAGGCTGAGCACTTCCTCCCTCCCTTCCCCCAATCTCCTTCTTTCTSTTCCTTCTTTTATCACTTCATACAATACAAACCTCTTGTGACTTGGCGGCAAGTCTTCTGCGCTTCGGAAACAACACAGCGACCAGGTTTTCGATGAATTCTTGTCCAGTGCAGACTTGAGTGAATTGTGTTACATTACGATACAGAAACACCAAGAACTGGATCAGCGTAACTGGATACTCACGAAGCCAGGAACCTTCTTCAGTATTTTCCCATGCCTGGAAATTATAATAGCACCACCATGTAAGATTACTGCACTACACTCAGAGGGTACAATTAAACCCATGTTTACGGACAGCCCACTATTATAAACACTTGTTTTTGTCCCGGTAATACATATTTAGCATTAATCAAACCTGTTAATACGGGCACTTCCTATGGTCCCCTAGGTAACCATATTAACAAGGTCCAGATGTAAACGAAGACTTTAAGGGGAATGGATGGGGAGGAGCTCGTAGATTATATAGATAGCGCACTTGATAAATATTAAAGATTACAGATTTTGCTYGAATTAGTCAGTGAAGTTTAAATTCGGCTTTAGTTTTGAAGACATCGTAATATYAAAAGATCATAACAAATATCAAAAGGAATTGGTGAGGACTGCACAGAATTGGGAAGAAAAATAGAGACGCAGAAAATTTCTTTTTGAGCCAACTGGAATGAGTTCATCCCACACTTTAATACAGTACTAGTGCAAGTTTGTTCTTTATCTCTTAAAACGAGGAACAAGATTTAGCCTTACCTCATTGACCATGCTTCTGGCCATTGACAATAGTACAGTCGCAGCTTCGGCGCAGTATATAATGTAGGCAGCAGGGTCACGTGGGCTAGGTGGCGAAGTCTTTACGCCAGTACTCGTTGATGACCAAAATACTGAATACAGGTTATGCCAGTCAAACAGTGCTCCTGCATATACATCTGTTGGCAACAAAAGGACCAGTCAGTATTGATTTTATCACCTGGTAAGTATTTATCCTCCCTTACTAGTAGTTGGTACTTTCTCAACTTTGAGTGATCCCCCTTTACATATCTGTCAATCTGTCAATGGTCCCTAATGAAGAAGACTCTAAGAAGTTTCTTTGTTTGAGCTGCATCTTTATAACATGTATTTTCTCAAACACTAYTGGAAAACATTTACTGAACAATTGAAATCTTTCCCATTATTTCTATTCCCTAAGGATAATTGASTACAAAGCCTTTGTAATGAATGAAAGATGGTTTAATGAAACCAAAAACGTTTGGTTGAATGTTGATGTCTTTTACAAGCCAAAAAAGTAATTAYAATACTAGAAACAAAGAATAAATCTCGTGGGAAAGACATGGCAATGGAAACACTACGGCTAAAATTTAAAGAGTCTATGGCAATTTTTTTGTACAAACCAGAAACAGGGTGACCAAGCAGTAGGGCAATGATAAGATGGTATATCTCAGGAATATCAACATGTCTGGGAAGAAGACTTGATAACATTGCAAATCCAGGGACGTTGCATACGTCTTTGCATACTTCGTACTTCTCTGTGCCCTCRGAAACGGCCCCAACGTTGAACCCTGTRGAAAAYCAAAAATGTGAGAATCCACATAAASTGGCTATMAATAGTRTTAAGGAATGATATTTTACCTCTATTTCATGAAAGGTTTAAGAGATGTTAAACGACGGSAAAGAAAATGCGAATTTTGAAGTCCAATGTACTGGATGTGCTTGCATTGGCATTGTGACAGCATCACTTTTCAATACTATAAGTTACTATCTAACCGCTCTTTGGTCTCAACTTCGACAACGAAGACAACATTTTAAAATTTTACTACGGATCATTTTCTTATGAGCGGGAACAATACAATACTGACTTACAGCACTTACACTTTACGATGTGCTGTAGCACTGAAATGGCTTTTCATTGTCTTTCAATAGTTCATCAAACCACAACACGTAGTTACGGTTATGGCACGATACGATACGATTAAAGTAGAGCTACGAATTTGTTGTATCGTTTCCCACTCACAAGAAAACCTTTCTAAAAAGCTCTCATACCTGCAACGACATAAGTGTTCTTGTTCAATATCATCTCAGTTCCTGCYAACCATCCACCRTTATTGACWCCTTCTTTGAACCTCTCCAGAGCYGCCTGGCTGCCCAGAATGGTGACCAGGATGCGTGTAGCACGCACTACAGTTGTCTTGTGGATGTGAGGGTGAAGGAAGAGAAGCAGCCAATCAAAACCCAGCGTTTGTTGGAGTGCATCTGAGAACCTAAGAAGGAGTGAGTAACGTTAAGATTCTCCATTGCGGGGCTTGAATCACCTTATACAAATCTTTGAATTTCAGTTAATTTGGAATCCAGGCGCACAATGCATTGTTTGTCACAGCAAAAATGCTAAGTATTTTCTATTATCTCCTATTCAAACGAAATATTTTCCACCAATAATGGCAAAAATTGGCGAATCTATTCATGGTTGATTTTTATCTACTTAATTTTCGATTAAAGGCTGTTCCTTATCCAGCTCAAAGCCTGGAACAAGGAGCTACTGAGCTATGAACRAAATGTTCGCTGATTGGCTAATTCGTTCGGCTGTTAAGAGATCACGTGAACCTTACAAGCAATAGTTTCAAAATTAACCCAGAAATGGAAGGAGAACCTCAATATTAGAACTATYGCATCATCATATTTTCTATTTGAGTGTAATATCCATCTCACCTATGGTCCAGTGATCCACCCTCGCCATATATTAGACACAGCACCACCTCCAATAGGACATTTCTTAGTCTTATTCGCTTGGGTGTGAGACCTTCTTTATTGTTTTCAACCTCTTCATTGCCGCTGCTTTCAGTGACGTTATCACCGTCAAGGTTCACTTCATTCTCATCGATGTAGTGACTGGAGACTGTTGACACTAGAAACTGACCAAACCTGYATATGACAATCAAAAATGACCAATAGTGGAAAAAATATAACTATTTGAACAAACAAAAAACAAAAACACGTAGAAAGGCTGGTTTAAAGGCTATCAGCATTCTGAACCGTGAGCAAGTCCTGATTTTTTCTGGTATATATGCAATTCTTTACCTTAGTAAATTTCTTTCTTCGTTGACATTACTTAGCAATACTGACAATACACTAGCAATCGTGTTCGCTGTGGAGTCAGTAACATTCTCGTCCTGGAGTACGAACAAGAGCTTAGGAACCAGCCCTAGCCGTTGCATGAGTTCCGCGTTTGCCTGGGATTCACTAAATAAAATAGATGATTGATAATTTAGCATGGCACGTCTCAATGGAAAGTTAATATACATCTGGGTCGTTTTAACGGTTAATATTTAAAAATACTAAACTGAATTCGCAGCTTTAGTCAGGTAGTATTTTAATTATCGAACAAAGTATTGAATGCTGAGCCAAAAATAATTACTACTAATAATTATAAATAATTGTTTATGAAGTTCTTACTTTCCAGGTCCTAGAAGTTCTAAGAAGTGTGAGTAGAGAGAYCTCTCCAAGTCACCTGGTGCGTCATGCCAAACCTGTAAAATAGGCATGTATAGTTATCATGAGTAACACTTGTGTGATACGGCACGGCGCACGGCGCTCGGCACGGTCACGGTCAAGTTACGGAATTGGCACCAGCCGCTGAACCAAACACATCACTTGAAATCACAGTTCATCCAACCAAAATACTCCGGCCACGACACCGTCACTATGACGGCAAGGCACGTCCGTACYGGGAGTTTTTTCACGTGCACAAAATCAGTTCAAATACCTAAAACGTTAAGAATAATAATTTTTGACTGAAAAACCTGACCAGCCCTTACAATAAACCCCTACCTTTGCATTCAAAAAAAAAAAAAAATGCAAAAAAAAAATACTTTAAAAAATTTGCAAATCTTAAGAGGCAAAACCTCCTATTCTTCGTTTGCACGCTATTCCATTGCGGCCATATTGGTGGCATTGAACGAAAGATTTYTCATTAATATTCTTTGTCAATACCACCAACATGGCCGCCACGTCTTTGCCATTTGATTCTTATGGAAATGCTTGCAAATCATTCATATTTTGGCTGCCCCAGGTTGGGAACTTTTGCGAGGGATATCTTTTATAATTATCCATACCTCAAGATCACAGAGTAGTTCTCTGAATGCTACTATGTTAGGTATGATAGACGATTCTCTGTCACTGTCCACTGTACCAACCAAAGCGAACGTCAGGTGTAGAATATGAGTATTGAGAAGGTGTTTCTTCTTGCGCAGTAAGAGAGCGAGGATCTATGCAATGATAAAAGCAACCATCTTAGAGAGTGATGTTCATTATAAATTTTCATGGAGAGTCGTCGGTGTGGCATAGCAGTAGTACACGCATCTCTAGCCTTCGGAGTCTCGGGTTTCATTCCTGGACTCGGCATCATATGTGAGCAGAGTTGGTAGGAACTGTCTCTTATCACGAGGGTTTCATTTCTGGACTCGGCATCATATGTGTTTATNNCCCAGTGGCTGTTTCAGGGTTCCATCTGTGAGTTAGCCATGCCCTGACTTTGATCAGCCCAGTGGCTGTTTCAGGGTTCCATCTGTGAGTTAGCCGTGCCTTGACTTAGATCAGCCCAGAGGTCGTTTCAGGGTATTGATAACTTTATCTTTCAAGATCACATAACTTACCTGATAACTCCTTGTTCTTTCCATATCTCGTCTAGCAGARGGATTACTTCTCAACACACAACTCAGTGCCTTCACTGACGCATACAGGGCCTCCACATCGGTTGCCATRGCAACAATGCCCAATAGACAAGATACGCCMCCTATRCACTCGATCAGCTTRGTGACAGGGTTAGGACAGAAGGTCCTTAGACCAGAGCACCCTATCATTACTGCTCCTATGGTACGTGAAGGGCCCTGTAGGTGGGCTGCGGTGTTGTGGATGAGTCGTACGGGCGTTGTGTTGTCATGAGTGGATAGTCCAAGCTAAAGATCAATAAGAAACAAAATAAAAACATCATTATGTTAAACTGCGGTCCACCACTTTTAGTGTTTATAAAGCAAGACGTTAAAAAAACGCTGCTATGAATGCATAACTTTATCAGTTAAGATTAACAAGATCACAAAGAGCGAACAGGAACTCCAGTTTTAAATATGTATTCACAAGCCATTCAAAGTTACAGTGAAAAWACCAAATCAGGGGCGGATCCAGGGGGCCTCATTCGATGCACCGAACACCCCCTAACTCCGTAATTACTCCTAAACTTTTTTAAGGCGATACAAAATATATTTCCATATACATTTCTTCATTTGGGAAGCCCCCCTTAAAAAATACTGTATCCGTCCCTGCTAATTGCAGTCCGTATACCCACCTCTCTTGCTATTGCACGTGTGTCGACTTTTCTAAAATGTCTCCTGATCTTTGACATTGAAAGCTGAGACTTGGCATGCGCATGTACACCAAACATCACTTTATCTTCTGATACTAAAGGCTCAACGTTTTCCATGGCGTACTGAAAAGTTAAAGGAATTGAAGCTTTATAAAAACTACAAAACAATGTTGAATTATACACGTAAAAGATTAATCATGACATCGTAAAAAGTACTGCGCACATTCATACAGTACATCAAAATTAATTATCAAACTTTTGGTTGAAAAACGGTTGAAAAATCGATTGACGCTAATTGATAGTCTCATAAAACGCTTGAGGTAACGAACTATGCACATTTGAAAAATTAAAAGCTAGCATCCTTGCCATCCTTGTGGTATGCCACATCTATGTCAACATTTTCCGAAGAATAATCAATTCAGTGACGTTTTCACAGTNCCCAGTGGCTGTTTCAGGGTTCCATCTGTGAGTTAGCCATGCCCTGACTTTGATCAGCCCAGTGGCTGTTTCAGGGTTCCATCTGTGAGTTAGCCGTGCCCTAACTTTGATCAGCCCAGTGGCTGTTTCAGGGTTCCATCTGTGAGTTAGCCGTGCCTTGACTTAGATCAGCCCAGAGGTCGTTTCAGGGTATTGATAACTTTATCTTTCAAGATCACATAACTTACCTGATAACTCCTTGTTCTTTCCATATCTCGTCTAGCAGARGGATTACTTCTCAACACACAACTCAGTGCCTTCACTGACGCATACAGGGCCTCCACATCGGTTGCCATRGCAACAATGCCCAATAGACAAGATACGCCMCCTATRCACTCGATCAGCTTRGTGACAGGGTTAGGACAGAAGGTCCTTAGACCAGAGCACCCTATCATTACTGCTCCTATGGTACGTGAAGGGCCCTGTAGGTGGGCTGCGGTGTTGTGGATGAGTCGTACGGGCGTTGTGTTGTCATGAGTGGATAGTCCAAGCTAAAGATCAATAAGAAACAAAATAAAAACATCATTATGTTAAACTGCGGTCCACCACTTTTAGTGTTTATAAAGCAAGACGTTAAAAAAACGCTGCTATGAATGCATAACTTTATCAGTTAAGATTAACAAGATCACAAAGAGCGAACAGGAACTCCAGTTTTAAATATGTATTCACAAGCCATTCAAAGTTACAGTGAAAAWACCAAATCAGGGGCGGATCCAGGGGGCCTCATTCGATGCACCGAACACCCCCTAACTCCGTAATTACTCCTAAACTTTTTTAAGGCGATACAAAATATATTTCCATATACATTTCTTCATTTGGGAAGCCCCCTTAAAAAATACTGTATCCGTCCCTGCTAATTGCAGTCCGTATACCCACCTCTCTTGCTATTGCACGTGTGTCGACTTTTCTAAAATGTCTCCTGATCTTTGACATTGAAAGCTGAGACTTGGCATGCGCATGTACACCAAACATCACTTTATCTTCTGATACTAAAGGCTCAACGTTTTCCATGGCGTACTGAAAAGTTAAAGGAATTGAAGCTTTATAAAAACTACAAAACAATGTTGAATTATACACGTAAAAGATTAATCATGACATCGTAAAAAGTACTGCGCACATTCATACAGTACATCAAAATTAATTATCAAACTTTTGGTTGAAAAACGGTTGAAAAATCGATTGACGCTAATTGATAGTCTCATAAAACGCTTGAGGTAACGAACTATGCACATTTGAAAAATTAAAAGCTAGCATCCTTGCCATCCTTGTGCTATGCCGCATCTATGTCAACATTTTCCGAAGAATAATCAATTCAGTGACRTTTTCACAGTCTACTAGTCTATAAGGCACAAAGGAAAATTCGCTACAGCATGTCCAAAAACTGGAAACAAGCATCTAAGGCTTATCTGCARCACTGATGTTTTCTACAATGCAAATAGATGAAGATTTTCATAACCTTTGATGACAGTAGTTGGTATAAATTTCTTACCGCYGATTCGCCCTCGAGACAAGGTGACTGAAAACTCCCGACATAGTTTGGTCCYAGCATGAACATCTTCATAGCAGTACCAGACGATAATGGTTCCTCTAGGAGATGTGTAGGGCCCAGTTTCCATAGCAATCTGGAGCATCTTCGGTGTGTCGAGGGCGTCCCTATGTAGGCTACTATGTATGGTGTTGCTGCTGCTGTTGTTGGGTCAGGGTTCACTATTCCAGCTTGCATGTACTTTAACTGAAAAGTTATAATAACATGATGCATTTTATATTAGTGTTACGACAACCCTCGCAGAACAGACATGTTCTTGTGCAGTGCTGTGATAGCGATAGCACCGTAACCGAGTACTAATTTCGCGCTGTGAGCCGGAGAGGTTTCACAGGAATGACAACATACAGGTTGAGTGAAATAAAAGCACGAAAGTGGAAGATGTAGATTTGAATCCCGGACAAGTGCCCTCTGCCATTTCTRTGCAAGTTCGAAAACTCCTAGTATTCAGCAACATCATGTAAAATGGAAGGTAAACCATTAGACCTTGATCGTATGCTGTCATGTTTATTCCTATAAAAATGAAAACTTTTGTTCAAACCTGCGTTATTAAGCGTAACCTCATTCTGAAGCACTTGAATGTGAGGCTACGCAGGCTTTTTCAAGCCAAGATGGCTGCCGCCTGAAATGAGGTCCTTGAATGCGCAAACGTACAAACAAATGCTCTTAAGGTGCGGACACACGATGAGGAAAAGGCTGCGTTTTTTTGGGTGTCATACGGTGCGATGTTGCATGAGACATCGCATTCAACGTCACATGCAACATCGCACCGTGTGACCGTACCTTTACTTTTCKTTGTTATTTTCACTTACTCTAGATGTGGCCACATGTTGTCCATCRACAAACAAGGTAGAAGTGCTGTTCCGAATCAAAGCTTTATTAAGGACCACCACCACGTGATGCCAACGCCCTTCCTCTAACAGCAAATCACTTAGGAACCTGGCCTCGGTCTTGTCTTTTTCTCGTCGTGGCTGGTCACTAGTTCCTTCATCGTCATCGATGGCGCTCTCTTCTGTGCGTACCTGGAATAAAAGAATAYGACACTGAGAAACTTAAAAGTGGAYGTGTTATCAATGCGCAGTGAAAGTCAACTATYAACAAATCACAACAAATCAAATGARTTTAAAATCAGATGTTGTATTAGTCTGAAAAAATCATTCAAAAATGCTTCMACGTCTTACCACGAGTGTCTTATCCAAGGCAGAAATACTGAGCGTCAAACAAGGAGAGTTCTGAACCTTTCCGTCTGAGCTGCGGAACTGCCTGGCAATGGTTAACAGACGAACAGGGTGGGGATCTTCTGYRGCATTACTGAACCGATCCACGCATATCCAGGTTGTAAAGGTGAGTCCTGCTTGAGGAGGGAATAGACGCTCTCCCGTACCAATGCCTGGTACTGCGCCTACTGCAACTACGGTGTTRCCGACCACAGAATTAACAGTAGAAAAACCTGGGAGAGATTTAATTTTAAATGACTGGTCAGGTGCGAACTGTAATAACACTTATTGTAAGTGGATTTTTGATGTTTCCGTACAATTAAGAGACGTTACAGTAAAACACAATAATTTCAGCTACAGTATGATAACGTTGCAGTAACTTTGCGTCTTTTCAAGGTGCAATTTGAAATGATCTAGCAGCGGCTGTCCTTCCATTTCAGACCAAGTGCCAATCCCTTGATAGCTATATTTTGGCTCCGGTTAACCAACAACACTTGAGAAGACACATTGATGCGGATGAAATTCAAACAAAGAATTTTATTGTCAAGGGTGGTTAGGAATAGAAAAACAGTGCTTCGGTCTATTACTCAATAATAACAGCTTTCTTTCAGTCGAAAACTTTGTACTCCACTAAACATCTGAACCAAGATTCACTGGTATAGAAAAGAAAATAACTCTCAAGGGAATGAAACGTGGTGGAAAATAGGAAAACAGTAAATTATCAGGTATATTACCTGGGAATGCCTGTGGTGCCACAGCAGGCATAAACAAACAGCCAAACCCATCCACACCCATATCAAACTCCACAAACGATGGACARTAAGACACACCATGGGCACGTGCATCACGCGGTGTTGTCATGGAAACAAGACACTTGACACGTGTTAATGGTACAGGCTTATTTTCTGGAAAGACTGGTTCTTCCTCCACCTCAAGCTCAGTATCGTGGCACTCACTAGTGCTGCGTTCCCTTGACGTCTCGTCGGGTATGGGCTGGAGGTCAGGYTCCTGYGCGCAGTGAAGRCTGAGCTGTTGAGTGATGTCCTCYACGCTCATCTCGGCTGCTTTGTGCTGTGACTCAGTTTTCACGTCTGTGTTGCTATCAAACGAGTTTATGCTGCTCTGAGAGGTTCTYCGAGATGAATTSTTGGACCCGGGAAGCAATTCTTTACCTAACGTCTGCGAGTCATCAATGCTTTCGGATAACTCTGGATTCCAAGCATTGTCAGAGTGCAGATTTTCCTCGTGTTGGGGTACGTCGATAAGAGGTGTACTGGTCTGCCCACTATCCCCCGTCACATCGACAATCACCAAATCATCTCCCTGATCAATACTAGATACTTGTTGTTGATTCTCACCTACTGTATCTATATCGACCCCATCGACTACCGTAGTAGCCCCGCTGTGTCCAGGGGTAACGGGCATTGTCTGTCCRTACATTGTATTCTCATCAAATAGATTGTGTCTGTGGTGAAGCTGATCTCGTTTAGGTCTTGGTGGTCGTTTTGGTTGAACTTCCTCCTCTGGAGATGTATTGCTGTCTGTCTGTCCGTCTATTCCAGGTGACGCTTCGGTAATAGAATCTTTGGAGTCGTCTTTAGATTTGTCGTCCGTTGTTTCTTCAACAGAATCGCCCAGCATCTCAAAGCCACGATCTTCGTCGTCGGAATCCGATTCTTCGCCGAAGCTTGAGTCGGGGCTGGGCTGGATCATACTCATCATGACGTCATGAAAAGATAAATTGCTGCAGCGATTATCCAGGGTACCCCTCTCGGATCTTGAATCAACCCKCCCCCTACTAGAAGAGTCAGATATTTTTCTAGTTATRACATCAGACAGTTTTCTGATTCCATTTGGAGTTGCTTGGTCCATTTGTTCCAAGACCGTACTTTCATTTTCTTGTGTAGCCTTATTTTCAACAACTGCGTTTTCTTGCACAAGTTCTGAACCATCTGGCTTGGATTCCTGTGTCAGGCTTGGTTCCTCTTCTGGTGGCTTTAGTGGTTTGCAAAGGAGTGGGTCTCCAAGACGAAGAAAGTCCCTGTTCAAAGGACATATCAACAAYTACTTTTTGATCTACAGCTTAACTAAATATTGGCAACAAGAACTAACACCAATTTAGTGACTGCTATGAAAATGAGAAACATTGAGGAAGGAATGAACCAACCCGAAGATACTTAAGAATGCTTGGATAATGATTTGTTKATAATGAGGACGATGCTGTCAAAGACAGTTGTCAAAGGACGGACCATTAGATAGTTGATGGGGGTTGCGTAATTCCAAAAAAATATCGAGCAAGCGTTAAAACCTCAAAGGAATATATTGCAACCTCTTCTGCTAGAAGGAAAATATCTAACCGTACGCAAAAAATAACGTGCAATGGTTGAGCCAAAAAAATAAATATCATGCAACCAAAATTCCTGCACCCCCCACCCCCCCCCCCATCAATTATCTAATGGTCCTTCCCTAAATGATAATAACAGAAAAGATGGCAGATAGCCAGCTATGACTTGATACTGATGGCAGCTTATGACTTGATGATGGTGATGATGATGGCAATGCAATTGGCAATGGTAGCGATGCGGATGATGATAATTAATGGTGTTAATGGTGGTGACGGTCATGATAATAATACTGACGACCAGTGGTATTATTGGTGACGATGATGACGATGATGACGATGATTACGTGGATGACAATGCAATGGAAGGCTGTTCAGACAAAACATACCGCTCCAACCAGCAAAGCTTCCAAGTGAAAAACCCTTGCGTAACTTACGATAACGATTATATAGTTGTTACATTATGAATTAAGGTATTGCGTTGCGTTYTGTACCTTAATACTGTAGCTGACAATCCCTGAGATGCTAATCTTTCAAACATTCGCTGTAATGGAGCATTGARAGGGTGATCTTCATCCACAAAGGCTGCTTCRCACCTCTGCAGTAACTGCTGGGGTAATCCTACATCGCACATTACTTGTTGATTGTGTTCTGAACGTAGAAGTTGTTGCAGTTTACTCAGCCAGTACATCTGTAACTCAAGGCAATCCTAGCAAAATACGAAAAAAACAATGAAAAATATAAACACACTCCCTGCTCCAATCTTATTTTTGATCCYAACGGGTTAGCTCACATCCTCGGAAACCCAGAGTTAAATTCTGTCGCTCGTTTCTCGAGGATGGTTAGCTCATTGGACAGTAAAGACTTTATTGTCATTGTTACATTTCTTGTCTTTTTTGACACTTCTAAAATTGGCTGTATTAAAGGCAGGACACACACTGAAATTTCCTCTCACGATGGCAGTGCAACACAAAATTTAAAAGTGCGCTGTCAAGGAAAGAAAAAATTGCAGCCTGTATCRGCAGCTTTAGTTTCAAAACTGGACATTTCTTAGTTATACCTCATTGTTAGATACGATTTGGTTGTCTTGTAATTCGCAGACAGCGGGGAGTAGATCAACTACAGCAGTTATAGCCCCAGGATGATACACAGATAACACAGRAGACCCATAATGAGAGACAGACTGACCATTCATCATATCAGTAGGTCCATAGTTTCCAGCCATTAAACCAAACGAGTCCGTTGCCATCTCAAAGAGGTTCTTAAACATCTCGTTGGCTGCATATAGTAGTGATGTGGGGCTCAGATCTGGTTCAGAGGGTCCATCTTGGTTGATAGATGACCGTGTAGAGTCTGTACTTGGGGTTGGTGAGAGGGGGAGGTGGTTGGAGCTCATGGATAACATTTTCTTGAACCCTCGGAGATATGGTTTGACTTCGCCTGTGTAAGGAYGCATTTCTAAGTCTGAGAATGAGAAGCAGCCGAGAAGCCGAATAGTATCTGCTAGACCCCGAAATCGAACCTGAAGAAAGAGACAAAAACATAAGCTTTTTTAAAGTAAATAAACTGGATAAAAGGTACATTGTAATCAGATTTCAGATTTTTAATGTATAGGTATAGAGGAGAGCACTGTGTGTAACTTTGACAGTGGTTGGTCCAGCTTTAATAATGAATGTTTACTAACTTTTGCATTAAAGGAGTATTAACAGGAAGAGTAATATTCAATACAGATTTGGCATCTGTGTTACCTCATCCATGAAGAAGTTCTTGTTGGCAGGTTCATCCTGCATGGCTGCTGTCAAAACATGGAACACTGTTCTCAGGAGAGTCAGTACTTCTTCTTGGTCAACTACAAACATAATGATTTTTATTATTTTTTTACTTTGTGATAGCAAAGCTTGTACAGTGAGAATCACCAACAACTGCTGCTCAAGTGCACAAAACTTTCACAGCTCCAACTAGGAAGTAGCGATCTTTTATGAGGGTCCTGAAGGGGTAAAATGGGCGATTTTTGCCCTGGACAATGAGAGGCGAAATTTATAATAAAAAARATTGGGCATGAAATGGGATTGGCAGCCCCCTTCTTCTTTCAGGCCCATATTATGTACTGTAAAATGTCTCTAAACAAGACAGAATTTTATGTTATATGTTTTTCTCATTTTTACCTTTATCCCAGGGGGTTGCTGCAGGTGTTTTCAGGCTACCYTCCATGTTGAGTGGTACTGACATGACATAAACAAATCCACCCACTTCTCGAAACACTGCTCTTGTTCTTGGGTCAAGCTCAAACACTTTGAGCAATGCATTTAGGACTTCTATTTTGAGCTGCACTTCTGAATGAGGAGTGGAATGCATTAAACCCAACAGCGTGCCTGGCAAAAATAGAGAAGATTAATGGAAGGTTAATTTATAATAATATCAGATGTACATGCATAGTGCACCTGGRTTTACGTGGTCTCTGTTTGTCTTTCTGTCCATTTACACTGTATCTCTGGCTCTTTCCTTCTCCCTTACTTCCTTCCTTTCCTGCTTGCTTCTTCCCTCAGTCCTTTCTTCCCTTGTTCCTTCCTTCATTTCTTTCTTTTTTTTCCCTTTTTTTCTTTTTATGGTCATAGAAAATCTCCTCTCAACCAGAGAAGGGAGTCATAATTTTTGTCAGGGAATGGGTGGGTGCAAATAAAGGCTGGTTTAGACAGTACGATTTTCGCCTACAACTATCGTATACAACACGCTCGCGTCTGTCATAGGCAAGTTGTAGGCTTGATTTACATGCTACRTCTCGAGTTGTAGGATGGCGCGAGCACGTTGTATATGATAGTTGTAGGTGAAAATCTTACCGTCTAAACCGGTCTTAAGAGTACCTACCCAAATCATCACTTCCTCCATTCAGTATAAGTTCATGGATGATCCTCAGTGCATCTGTTCGTGACTTAGAATAAGGAATCATATTATGAGCACAGCGTGCCCCTCCACATTCCCTGAAGACCTTGGCATTCTCTGCATTGGATTCCAGCAAGAGCCGTAGACATCCCATCAGTAGGAAGGGGTAATCATTCGGGGTGGATTCTGTAACAAACACTTCTTCTTGGTCTTCTTCTGTTTTATTTAGATCCTCATTGGGTGTTGATGGCTGTTTAAATGTCTCTACAAAAAAAATGGATTTGGATCAATATTGAACACATCTTGAATGAGAGAGGCAGAGACTGAGAGAAGCAGAGACTGAGAGAGGCAGGGACTGAGAGAGGCAGAGACTGAGAGAGGCAGAGACCAAGAGAGGCAGAGACCGAGAGAGGCGGAGACCGAGAGAGGCAGGGACCGAGAGAGGCAGAGACCGAGAGAGGCAGAGAATGAGAGAGGCAGGGACTGAGAGAGGCAGGGACTGAGAGAGGCAGGGACTGAGAGAGGCAGGGACTGAGAGAGGCAGGGACTGAGAGAGGCAGGGACTGAGAGAGGCAGAGACTGAGAGAGGCAGAGACTGAGAGAGGCAGAGGCTGATGATCTTTAGTCAACTCCAGCCTTTTACTATTCCCACATATTTTTAATGAAATTTTCAATTAATATTTTAAACCTTTATTATTATTATTTTAGTTTAAGGCTGAAGTGTGAAGGAATTAGATCTCACGCATATTGCYGAGAGGCTACAGTATGCCCCACACATACAGTAGCATGCTGATCAATTTTACAGAACGTTTTACATAAGTAAGAACAGTAAAATATCTCGAAGGCTCTAGAAATGTATGTGGATAGAAATTCTGTACCAGATACTTTATTGTTAATGTTTTGACTTACCATCATTTTCTTTCAAGACAGCAGCATAATCTTTCAGGCAGTTGGTAAGCACCTCCAGAATACCAACCTCACGGAAGATATCTTYGTACTTGGGGTTGAAACTCAGGATGCGAATGAGAAAAGACAGAGCTACTTGGTGGCAATCACAGGGGCTAAAAGCAGAAAAAGTTTAAATGAAAAATAAATAAAATGGAAAGAGGGATTAAGTTACAATTTTAGAGAAAGGAATGAAGGCAGGGGGCATGAAAGAAAGATGGGAAGACAGGAAAAAGGAAAGAAGGAAGGAAGGGAAGGAAGGAAGGGAAGGAGGGAAGGAAGGAAGAGAGAGAAAGAGAGGGAGGGATGTAAAAGGAGAAAGGGATTGGAAATTAGGAAGAAAGGATGAGAGGGGAAAACAAAATGAAAGAATGATGGAATTGGAAGGGAAGAAGGGACAGGAGAGAAACACGAAGATAGAGAGAAAATGAGGAAGGAAGGAAAAGAGGAAGAGAGAAAGAGAGAGAGGAATGATAAAAAGAGAGAAAGAACATTTATTTGCATTAACTCACCCTCTGTTTTTGAATAAAATACTGACAGACATAAGTTCAGGACAGGGTACCCAGTTCAAATTACAGATGACAAAATCCAACAGCTTGAAGACTTTCTCTTGCACCTGGGTTTCCTTATCTGGAATGCTGTCTATGAATAATGATATTGTGTGCTGTGGCTCAAGAATGAAGTAGTTGGCATTATCTGACCTGTAGATGTTGCTGATACAGTCCAAAATATTCAAACAAAGAAGCTTGTCTGATGTCTTCAAAAAGAAAAACAAAGATTTTAAAAATATATATTTCACTATACTACGAGTTATTACACAGAGTGACACCGGTTTGTAGAACAGTGTTTTGTTTTGAGTCTTTTAATCCTTTCTTTTTTCCTAGAAATCTTAATATTTTATGCACACAACTTTCAACTCCTATGTTGATCTTTGTCCTTTAGCAGCAAGAATGATAGATATAATGTTCTATCTAATGTAAATCTTACCTTCAAAAAAACTTTTTGCAGAACATGGAATGCTTCAACATTTTTTACACTTACTCCTGCAAACCAATTAAAATAATAAGCTAATTATTAACTAAGGATAAATCTTGAGCCATGAATATAATGATGAAAAGAATAGAAAAAACAAATAATAATAATAAAATAATAATAATAATAATTCTATTCGTTTTTTACAATCTTGAAAAAATGYATAAATATTTAAAAATTATTAATTATTGATTAGAGATTATTGTTATTATTAATTATTGATTAAAGACTATATGAATTAAAATAATAATAATAATAACAATGATAATAATAATGATAAAATGATTTAATTGAACAACAAGTCAAACTCAACTGACACGTGCACAGTTCAGTCAAGGTTTAACCTCTTTCAATAAGTGTAATCTATTTGCCTACAATATTGTATTGTAGTTTACTCCAAGGCTTGGATTATCCTTGGCTTGGTTAATTTGGGCTGATAATTGCTGGGTTTCACTTGATGTCATTCCCTGTCTTGTGGGAGGGAGGGAATTATGTCAATATATAATTTTTTTCTGGCTGACAGCACATGGTGCATGTCACTGTTTGACCTCCATTTGGAGCAGATAATGAGATTCAAAAACTTTTACCAGCTGATTGCACAAGCAATAAAATTCAAAAATTGTGTTTTAATTGAGATTTAACCCTACCTCCACCTGAAGGCTCTGGAATCACAAAAGAAGGATCCTGAAATGGTGTTCCAATACTGATCAGAGGCTGAATATTTATATGACCCACCATGACTAATGAAGACACAAGTAAGGCAACATTACGGCTTGCTTCCCGAGCATCTTCACTCTCAATTTCCGCTAATATTAATAAGAGTTCATATAAGAATAAATAACCTCCACAGCTTCTGAAATCAGCAAGGAGGAGGTGTGATATTTCACTGGAGTCTTTCAGACAACACACAAATGTGACCATCATTTCAACGAGTTCTAAAGGATTCACTCGCTGGATTCTCTTCATGTTTTCTAGACAGTTGGAAACACAGGATTTGCCTGAACAAAGAAAAYATATTAAAAAAGAATGAGTTAATTATTGCTATCGTATACAGTATCAAAAAGAAAAATGATCCCATTAAATTGAATATCTCATAGGTTATGTAACTTGATTATTAATTATTTTAATATATATTAAATRGACAACTATGGCTTTTAAATGTTATTATAGACGTGGAAGTGGAAGTGGAAGTAAAGTTGAAGTGAAATAATATTCAACAGCATGAAGAATAAAATTATTTAATATTAAAAACAGTTTCTTTATTACATAATAATTCAAAAATTATATTGAATAAATAAATATYGTTTTCTAAATAATGTACTTAGTCCTTTCTTATGGACAAATAAGTGTTTATAAAGTGAAGATTTAATAAAATAAACATATAGATTTCTATGTTTCAAATTAAAAAAGGTACAATCATTGCCTTTTGCTCATGTCAAATGATAAATAAATGATTTCAGAATACTAGAGTAAGAATCTGTGCATCAGAGAATAAGACTTAAAAACATATTAGAAAAAGCAAATTGTTTGGCTAAATCACCTTAGTTACAGTATGTGGCTTTATGATTGAAATTAATGCAATAAAACTCTCTTTTYGAATCATGACAAATACTTTTTGTTTACTCTTAGTAATTCATTAACACGTCATTTAGTATTACTACTACAAGACTAGTAAAATCAGAGAAGGTAGATCAAATTGATTGGCTTGAGAATAATTTAGCTTAATGACCCAGCCAAGTGTATTAGGTCMTCTTGGCCAGTAATATTTTACACTTTAAAGAAAGTGATAAATGTTTAGTTACTAAGGATTTAATAAGCAGGGTCAAATCATACTCCCCAATAATGTTACAGCACCAGTAATAATAATGAATGGATAGGTAAATTATACTGCATAAGGATATAAASTATTTACTGTAGTGAATAGAAAACTACTTATTACAGTATAAGACAATTAAAGAAAACTATAAATGTTTAATTAAGAAAGTTAGAGTGGTCAAATTGTACTACCCAATAATGTTACAGCACTTGCAATAAAACTGAATGGATTGCAAAAGGTAATTTATACAAGGAGATATAAACTATAAGCTTTGGCCAATAGCAAACTGCTTAAAATAATACAGTCTGGATTATGTTTAGAAAGCTGATTTTAAGGTTTCAGCTGCTGTGAATAAATAATAAACTTGTAATCAAGAGATATACAATATAAAATAAAAGAATAATTAGAATTGTATGAGAATCATAGAATCATTAACCGGTACAAAAGATGTGACTCTCAAAAAATAATGATTAATGCTATATAATTTCAATGAAATTTTTCCTAATTAGTTTAGGGATTAGAATCAATAGCTTGTACAGTCTGCACACATTTCTTCAGGTAAAGGCATAAACATCTGCTCTCTATGCAACAAAAAATAACAGCATGGTTCCTCAAAAATCACTGCAGTTTTCAATATTCTGCAAACTCAGACATTTCATAAGGCTTGTTGGTTTGTTACAGCCGCAAATAAAAGTATGAAAGGTAACGACTGAATATTTTTGATTGATGGAAGCGTAAAAACAAATTTAAGCATGTAGCTTGCAACTATCAAGTTTACAGAATATTGAAAACAGCAGTAAGGATTAATTTTGCTTATGGTTTGCTCGCTTTCATTCAAAATTTTGAAATTGACTTCCTGGCTTTTTGAGTTAGGGGATAATCAAGTCCTTGTTAGCACTCTTGAAATTAATCCTTAATGGAGCAATTATTGAACTCATAAAAAAACATCCACTAAACTTCAAATAAAATCTCTTTATAAGTCATTATGCTTTGTCAAATGAATGACATGGGTCAAAGTCATATTGCTATTTCTTTTTGCATGGAAACTCGTACATRTCACATTATGAGATTAGATGCGTACAAACTTGTTTTTAAAACAATAAGGTAATGTATTCCTAATTGATCACAATACACTTTTAATTCAGTGTTCTTAAAACTCCAAACTTTCCAAGAACTTGAAGGAAATTGGAACAAAAAATGRTGAGAAGGAGTTAAAGTTTTTGAAATTATTTCATCTTAAAATAATTGAAACTAAGCACGGCTCATCCTTAGTAGCTGTCTAAATGATGCAGTTGAAAAAAAGACAGCAAATTATGATGATGGAAGGAATYTCAGCCTACTCACCATGAATGTAGTTGATGACCTCTTTATTCAATCCATATCTTGTAACAGTCATCAGAATCTCAGACACACAACTTCTCCAACCGATGTTGTGCTTTTTGGTACAAGGACACGAGATAGCAGAAAACAGTATCGACAAGTCATCCGTGTTGACAAGTTCATTTGACGTCGCAGGAGAATGACAAAGCTTMACTAAAATCTGCGTATAGACTTTCTGTACGATTTCGAGATCCTGTAACTGGTCTTCTATAGATTTTTCATTTATTTCTTTGACAGATGGAAGTTCATAAAAAAGCCAAAGACATTTGACCATCGTAGAAGGAAGATTTGCGGCAACCATACATTCCAATACAGGAGTCTCTCCTCCAGCTAAAATGTTTAAACTAGCCAATAATTTCCATCCCGAACCGGTTTCCTCTACCGAATCAGAGAGTAAGAAGTCCATAACCGCTTTACTCGCAACTTCGTGGTTTCGATTTGAAGCTCGTTTTCGTATCTCTCGCACCATGAGTTGTGAAACATGAGCTGCGAACTGGCAAACGTCGCCAAATTTTTCCGTTAAAGCACTTGGATTAGCGTTCGAGAAAATCTTACAGAACAAAGGTAGCATACGGAACAAGGCATTTTCTTGATCCTTGACAGTCATTGGTGTCGGGGAATGACGGAATTCCATGAAGAGTTTTCTCAAATGTCGGAGACAAAGCTCGTCATCTTGGTTGGATTGAGAGACCAAATCACTGCCTGGTCTCGTCCTAATCCCAACCAGTTTTCTCACAAGATTCATCTTAGATCCCCAAAACCCTTGAACTGCAGGTAGAATATAGCTAGCCTAATCCTTTCATATTGGTATTATGAGTCGAAAATGGTTTTTACATGGTTAAAAAAGACAATATTTTGATAGAATCCCTTCAACTTTCCGTTCCTCCATTTTTAGCTTCTCCTAAGTGTGCGCATGCTAAACTACACATCACCGCTGCTCTCAAAACCCTGGGCGCATTAAAAAAATTTCAGTTTTGAGTTTCAGTTTTTTCAGTTCTTTCGCTTTTCAACGATCAAGAACTCAATACTTAATTTATATCAAAGGATGTTCTTAGTTCTGACACATTCATAAGTATATTAAGAGGTAAGAATTATAATCTGACAAAATTAGCAGGGATAACTTTCCAGTTACGTAATTTTGTGTAACCTCAAGGTCCCTGAAGTGGTCCAAGTTTAAGCTTAATTGCACCGATGCAGCAACAGAAAACGATAGCCTGCAATATTATATCTGGATATCCCACAGATACTAGATGACTAACTGATAAGCTCTAAAAGACTGGATTTTAAATTTTGAACTAGTCAACACGTGATCCGTCAATGTCACTGATCAAGAGGACCGGCCTAAAAGCCGTTTGGCCATAGTCACTCTAAAATTTTTAGCCCTGATAAAATTACACAAAGTAATTCAGTTTACCACTGTTTTCATTGCAATGCACCAGTCAAGACAATGGTCACGACATGGAACTTAATRGGACAATGACCTAGGGCAAGGGGTAGGGGTAGGGGAAAAAATTCAAATGCCCCAGACTGGGGAAGCAGTTGCTGATYAAATTAAACTAACTACCCCCATGAATTGTCATACATTTACTATAAGTGAAAGTAGAGAAGCTTTTATGAGCAATCAAATTCCAGACTCTGGGCCACATATTTGCTCTCAAATCCCCATCCCCTTCCTGGCTAAAGGTTACTGAACAATTCATTGACCAACTTCCCTTTCAGGACTGTTGTCTGGATCAGCTAGTAGCACTAAAAACAGTGCTAATGTGTACAMATGAAGAAATAGAAAATGCGCGCGCGTGCTGTGTGCTGTCATAAARCACACGGGGGTTGGCAGAACACGAGATAAGTGTTAGGAGAAGCACGACGCGTAGCGGAGTGCTTCTGGACACTTCTTGAGTGTTCTGCCAATCCCCAAGTGCTTTATGACYGCACACAGCACAGCAAGCAAGTTTTTTATTTATTTTATAAAATACAAATTATAATAATAGATAGGAATGACGCAACGGAAAGTGCGCGCGCATACAATGTGCTCTCACAAAGCACATGCTCCAAACCAATCAGAACGCAGCATTCATAACAGTTATTTTATAATTCCATGTGATATACCCAACCATGTGTATTTATAATTTTTATTTACAGTAATATCTAAACAGGATGCTTCTTCAATATAGTGATTTTCAAGAAGGTCCTATAAAACCAATGATGTAACAAAATTGACTTTAAAAAAAATTGATGAGATGAAATACGAATTGATAAATGCATAAAATTATATGTTTTGGAAAGCTTCAAAGAAATTAAATTTAAACTGAGAAATCTTAGAGCATCGTTTGATATCATTACTTAGATCGTTCAATTCTTTCATGGCTTGAAAAGATTTCCTTTGTTTTTTCCAAACTTGTTTTAACACTTGACAAACAAAACTCACTTCCATTTCTTGTGTTATAAGATAACCCTTTCTACTTGATAATGTAGCACATGCAGACAACCAGCCAATCAGAGATGAGTATCCCTAGACGAGTGCTCATCGTAGGAGCAGGACTAACTGGCTCAGTTACAGCTTCATTACTGAGAAGAAAGTTCCAGAACATTGATTTGACAGTGTGGGAAAAGTCTAGAGGTGCAGGAGGTCGCATGACGACAAGTAGGTGCCCTGATGATCCCAAATGTACAGCAGATACTGGTGCACAGTACATCTCAGCAACACCCAGTTACTTTAAAGTACATGAAAGGTAAGACTGAAATAAATTGGGGGACTGAGACTTGAAGATATGGGTATTATATTGAGCAAAAAGGGGATAAGCTAAAGTAATCCCAGTCCCTTCCTGCAGGTCCAGTTTTTTTTCTAGAACAGAATTGGGTTATAATTTTTAGTAATCTATTTTAACTCTTAATAATCTTGGTTTTGTTTTGGCCCACTTTCACTTACTCACACACTGACCACTACACCACATTTAATTCTCTATGTATAGTTCTCAACTTTCAACTCACACGTTGATCTTCCTATGTCACTATGCGTTTCATCCATAGTTTCTATCAAGAGTTGCTGTCATCCAATGTACTGAAGCCTTTCACTGGTCTTATTGAAGGAGAGAAAAACCAAGATGGCGTGAAACACTTCATTGCGCCTGCAGGAACTAGTTCTATTGTCAAACATTTTCTAAAACAATCAGGTACCTACTGGAAAAGTTAAATGTAGTTCCTAAAGCAAATCAGAGCTGCCTTGAGAGTGGGACTAGCAGACTGGTAATAACACATGATGTAAAAGTGGGAGCTACCTAACACTTGAAAATTGAGTGGATCATAGCTACATGATGGCAGCCATGAGAGGATTAACCAGGAGCAATTGAATTTAATTTTCAATTCAATTCAATTCTTTTGTTGTTGTTGTTGTTGTTGTTTGGTCTAATCTAATGTACATGAGAAGAAAAGAAGTTTCGACCCAGGGGAAAAAGACTCTATTGTTATGCTTCCTGTCATGGAGCACCACAAAYGATGCAAATCCTCTTTATRCTAAWATTTTTCTTTCGTCATACTTCACAGGAGCAAATGTTCATTATCAAACACAATGCAATGAAGTCAACATGAAAGATAACCCATCACAATGGGAGGCAATAGACCTAAAAGGCAACTCRGAACTATTTGACTCCATAATTATTACCATACCTGTACCACAGCTTTTTAATTTCAAAGGATCAATACAAAGTCATATCAAAGAGGATAAAGAAAGGCTTGAAGCTGTGAATTACTCTTCACGATATGCCCTTGGTTTGTTTTACGCACAAGGGACTGATATTTCTCTACCTTGGACTGCAAAATATGTTACTGGTAACCCATGTATTCGATTTGTTAGTGTTGATTCAAGGAAAAGAGGGCAGGGTGAGTTAACAATATTATTKAACAATTACAGAATTCCTAGTCAAAAGATATTTGCATTACAAGGTAACATACTCAGTGAAATATCTTTCGATTATCAAGTATTTTAGTTTTGTTGACTAAGATGCCACTATAAGGATGTGACACTACCATCAGATACTATAATTCAACTTTATTGTAAAGACTGTGGACCAATTGTCAACTGGTTTATCAACCGTTCGTTGCCCATTCATCACTGTTTGTTATCTGTGGTATGTAGCAATAATCTGTTGACTAACTGTCAACCAACCACCGATAATTGGCTGACCCACAGCTGACYAATAGTCGATCAACAGATGGTTTGGGGCACTATTAGTTACTATTATCTTAATGGTGTTGATAATGATGACAGTAGTGCTAACACAAGTAAACCTAATGTTTCCATGGTTTTTCCACAGATGAGGATAACATTGGCCCATCTATAGTCCTTCACACCAGTGTTCCCTTTGGAATTGAACATTTAGAATCAGAACCAAAACAAGTGGAAGAAATCATTCTAAAACATGCATATGAACTATTACCTACTCTTCCTAAACCAACAAATATAAAATTTCAAAAATGGAGGTATTCACAGGTGTCAACCCCCATGCCTGGTGCACCTGGTTGCTTGGTATTGCATCATTCACCTTTAGCTCTTGCAGGTGGAGATGCATTTGTGCATTCAAACTTCGATGGTTGCATAGAGTCTGCACTGTCTATAGTGGACAAATTCACCAACTCAAAGATTTAGTTGTACAAATTTGATAATTAAAATTGATATAGTGTTTGAATCACAAATGTAACCTTTTCTTTATCTGGAAATTACTTATTTTTGAATCAAAGATGTTGGTAGCAAAGAGGGGGCAGCAAGTTATTTGTTCTACCAAGTATGATTCTCACTAGAAACAATAGCCTKTGATCCCCAAAGCTGTATAATAAGGGTATGATCATGATAAGCAGCTAGCAAGAATATAGGCAGCTACATTGCTTATACCCATGAAAAATGGCCATAAACCATATAACAACTCCTATACTCATTGCATCAAGATTGGCTTCCAAAAGGCTTGGTGTTGGAAGCTGTTAAGGCTCGACTCCTAAAAAGATTYGCAAATTTGCCATCAAGTGCGATAGTMATGTGTGCCGGAGCTAGAAAGCACGTCATGACCAAAGTGGGCAGAGGGGGGAGGGGCACTTATATTCCATCATTATATTATTTACCGCTGTACATAATATGAGTAAGCTTAAACCCACGTCAGATACCGCGCGCTATGATGCCTTAGACATAACGGTTGCTTGATGGTCACGCGAGAGGAAAAAATAAGCGCGCTTTGCCTTAGACCTAACGGTTCCAATTGCTTGGCGTAATATGTTTGAGAAAGGGGAGAAACTTCAGTCACGTGATTTCCGCCAAGCAACTGGAACCGTTGGATCTAAGGCAAAGCGCGCTTATTTTTTCCTCTTTCGCGGCCGTCAAGCAACCGTTAGGTCTAAGGCATAGCGCGCGCGCATTCCAGTGGTATCTGACGCGGGTTCAAGCTTACTCATATTATATACAGCGGTAAATGATATAACAATGGAAGATAAGTGCCCCTCCCCCCTCTGTGACTTTGAATTGCGTTGCTAGGCAACAAATCTTTCTTGCGCGCGCTAGATTCCAGTCTTTTGGATGCGCACGTTTTCTTCAGTAAGCACCATGCATGATTTAAGAATTGGGATGCAAAATTTAATTATCAGTATTTTGAATATAAATAAAACACGATATTATCCTATGATCGACTACGCAGCAATACCCTATTAGACAAAGACTTTAATAGACAACATGTATATGTACAATTTCAATAAATCAATTAGACCAATTGATGCAAACGGTCTATTATGACGTCATATGACAATTACTTCATTACTGAAGCAATTAAGAAGTAATTAATCAGAAACCCTRTTCACATTTTACTGAATTTCATGGTAAAAGCTYAGCTTTAAYATGAGYTTGGTRAAGAACCTGTGCATGGGGGCCGCGGCAGTCGTGGTGGCAGGTGCAACAACTTATATGTTGTACCGCTACTTCAAGAAGGACGTCAAGGTACGTGAAATAATTTATTTTTGAAACGCGCTCGAAAACGCTTAGTGATTTTATTAGTTTTCACACGGAAAGCAAAATGCCAGTGTAAAAAACATCGGTCATGAATATTTCTTTTTCAATTTTCTTTTCTTCCAGARGGCAGAGGGAGGCCGATAAGGCTGTTCCCTCCGCGCTCCAGCCGAGAACTTGGCTATAACTGGGGACCAACATAGCAGCCGATATACCATCATTCACTGTCTTCAGTCAAGAACAAGCCGAGACAAGCTGCATGCCGGCTGGATGGAAGACTTTTTTTTTTTTTTTTTCGGAATCACTGGCTAAATTGAAAATATGATGACTCTACTGAACCGCTGGAATGTATACTGGAATSACTGGTTGATAAAACCCTCTTCACCTTTTGAACTATTGAACTTCTACTGAATAACTGATGATAAATCATACTCTACACAATGGACTCTATAGACTCGAAGATCAAGACTACTGAGACTCAACAGTTAATATACTGACATAGACTACGATCAAGTCTACCAGACTCRATGGTTGATAAGAAACYCTACTCTACTATATGGACTCTACATTGGGCAATAGACAATGCACAATGGAGAATGAACAATGGAACAGACTATTGACAAAAATCAAGATGAACAACCGATACGACAACGAAGAATGGACATCGGACATCGGACAACACACGACCCACAACAGAAAACCAATGTTCAACAACGGACAACGGACAATGGACGACCGATGATGGACAACCGACGAGGGACAAACGACGACAGGCAACAGACAACAGACAACAGACGACCCACAACAGACAAACAACAAAAGACGAAAACATCATAACAGAAAATAAACAACGGACGACGAACGACTACAGACAACAACTAGCAACTGACGGACAACCAACAACGGACCGACGAACGACGAC